GCTCCTCCTTCTGCTGCTCCTCCTCCTCCTCCTCCTTCCTCCTCCTCCTCCTCCTCCTCCTCCTCCCCTCCTCCCTCCCAGCCGCACAGTGTGGCATTGACGGGTGTCCGATCCATGATGCTGGCCACCCCTGCCCGCATGGGCGATGGGGAGCGCCTCCAGCTCGAGCGTTGTAACTACCTCCTGGTAGCGAGTTTTTCGACAAGCTCGACTTCAACGACGTGGACGTCGTCAGTCTGCTCCTCGCCGAGATGGACCCCTGCCGTGTCTTCCTGATGGTCGGCCAATCACCCGACCGAGATTGCCACGTTCCCTGGCTCGGACTCTGATGCGACCCCCGTTCCGACCGTCGACGAGAAAAGTGGAGCGGCGGGGTCTCTCGAGGGTATGCTGTGTGGCGTGGATGATGTGGTGAGTGTGGCTCCCCACGGGCTGGTGCCGCTGCTCCTTCACATATTGCTACTTCCTCCCCCTTCTGGATGTTTCCGTGTTCGATGTCATTGCTTCCTTCGTCGATTCGACCCCGAGTACCTCGAAAACGGCTGCTCCTTGGACTTCGATTGTCACTTCCTATTCGATTTCGCAGCCTCATTCTTCTACTATGACCTTGCCGTCCTCGGCTCCCGTAGCACCAGCGGGCAAAACTGAGGACCTCCCCCATCCCCGTCCTCTCCCCTCGCCCGGAGCTGCTGCGCGTGGGTGCTCCCCACCTGCTTCCCGCTCTAGCCGCCTTCCGCAGGCGTCCCCGCGCTTGTCCTCGCTGCCAGTTGTCTTGCCTTCTGTGCTTGGTGCCCCCCGTCCCCCCGTCTGTCAGGCCAGGCGCGACCCCGCCTCCTCGCGATACCTCATGTTGTCGTTTGGACTTCTCCGGCCAGGGGGCGAGGCTGGATCTTGGACTCTCGTGCTCTCGCCTCCTCCTCCTCCTCCTCCTCGCCCTCCTCCTCCTCCTCCTCCTCGTCCTCCTCCTCCTCGCTTTTCTCCTCCTCCTCCTCCTCCTCCGCAGTGCTTGGTGCTGCTGCAACCCCTCGCCCTTTCCGGCCAGGGGGCGAGGCTGGATCTTGGACTCTCATGCGCTCATCTCCTCCTCCTCCTCCTCCTCCTCCTTGCCCTCCTCCTCCTCCTCCTCCTCCTCCTCCCCCTCCTCCTCCTGGGCCACGCAGCGGGGTGCTGACAGCGGCGACGCCGAGTCCTGGGTGGCGGTCGCCGTCCTGCTCAAGGCGTTCGAGCAGGTGCGGCACCACTGGCTGCTCGACGCTGCCATCGCCACTGGCTTCCCGCCGTGGCAGCTCAAGTTGGCGCTGGAGCTGTACTGCGCGCAGAGGGTCCTCTGCATGGGCAGCGCTGCCTCGAGCGTGATCGAGGCAAGGCAGTCCATCCTGCCTGGCGACGGCTTCGCGACCCCGTTGCTCAAGCTCATCCTGATCGGGCCGCTTGACCGCCTGGTCATCCAGCACCCGACCGTGTCGCTGGCGGTGGTCGTGGACGACCTCTTGCTCCACCGAGTGTGCGGGCTCGTGCGGGTGACGAAGGAGGTCGCTGAGGCAGCCTTCAAGTTCAAGACGCTACTCATGGACGTGGACTTCGACGTGGCGGTCAAGAAGTCGAGGGCGTAGGCGAACCTCCCAGCTGCTCGCCATGGCCTGGCAGCCCGTCTGCGTCGGCCGCTCGGCGTGGTCTCGGTAACGGGTGAGCGCAACTTGGGCGTTGACTTCTCGTGTGGCAGGCGCATCGTGCGCAAGGTGCGTCAGGAAAAGCTGGTGCAGGCAGGGCTCCGCCAACGCCGCGTGGCGATCCTCAAGACAGGGGCGGGGCGCAAGAAGGCTGTGCGCAAGGTTGCCAGGGCTGGCATCGAGCCCAGCGTGTCCTACGGTGTAGCCGCCACTGGCTGCGCCACCATGGAGGTGGACACGCTGCGGACGGAGTCGTTCAAGGCGGTCGCGCCCAGCATGGCTGGGCGGTCGCGCGCGCCCACCCTGATGCTGACGCCCAAGCTCGACCCGATGATCAGCGCCACGCTCCTTCCCACCAAGATGCTGCTGCGGGCGGCCGGGGAAAGCTGGATGCCCCAGCACATCGTCGACTACAGCATGACCTGCTGCCAGGCCCAGAGTTGGAGCCAGGTGCGTGGGCCCTTCAGCGCTGTGCGGCTTACCCTCGAGCGGGTCGGCTGGCAGGTGATCGACGCCACCATCTGGCGCACGCACGAAGGTGTTGACATCAGTGTGTTCGAGCTGGCCCCCTGGATCGTCAAGCGTCTCCTGTTCCGGGCAGTGCAAGCATGGCAGCGGCGCGAGGTCAGCAAGGGAACTGGTCCCGAGCACCTGGCCAACGGCGGCGTCTTCGAGCCCATGATCAAGATGGCCACCACTTGCGCCGTCAGCCGCAACGGCGTCTTCGGGAGACAGCTGCAGGTCACGGAGGCCAAGGGCCAGGACCCTGCGCGGCGGGCTGCCTTGTCGGCGCGCGCGACGCTCGAGATGAGGCTGAGGGCTTACACTGCGTTCTGGCTCCAGGACGTCTCGGTGCTCGACGAAGCTGGAGACAGAGCGCACTGGCTACGCCTGTGCGTGTCCTACGTGGCCGACCTGCTGATGCATGGAACGTGGACACCGCTCGTCAACGAGGCTGCGCGCACGATCGGCATCGGCTGCCTGGGCGTGGTCAGGCTCACGATGGCGCAGGATTTCTGCGAGGCGGTATAGGTAGCACGGCGGCGCATTCGGGCCAACTACCACGCCGACGTGCGCAGGCTGGCCCAGTCCGGCGCGCAGGAGTGGGTAGAGCAGGTGGCGCAGCACGCGCGCTCCATGATCGAGGCGGAGGATGAGTTCGGCGCCGCGCCTGGCAGGCGTGCTGCAGCTGCTGCCCGCGGGGCCGCCGCCGCGGCGCCAGTTCCGCCGCTGGCGGCAGCGGCCTGCCCGGAGCTGGCGTCAGAGCCCGCTGCCCAGAGGTCGTCGCGGTCGAGTGGAGAGCAGGCAGCCGCGCCGTCGAGTGCGAGGCCGCCTTCGGAGGAGTCGCGCACGAGAGGCAGGCTCAGCAGGACCGCGTCCGCTTCGGAGGAGGTCGCGGGGAAGCTGGGGTTCCAGGTTTGCGGCGAAACTGGGTCTCGGCGGGGTGAGCTGGATACTCGTGCTCGTCGACCTCTCGTTGGTGTGTCGAGTGCTGGCGGGGTGCCTGGGGCCGCTGTGCTGGCGTCAGAGTCGCCGCGTACGGAGGATGGCACTGTGGTGCGGATGGACCATGGTCCGAATCCCATGGATGCTGGCAGGCAGTCAACGCTCAGGCTGACACCCAAGGAGCGCGGGTACCTCGCGTCGGTGGTGGCCAACAGACAGTGGAGTCACAGCCGCAAGTTCGAGCAGGGCATGGCCGTGGATGACTCGTGCCAGCTTTGCGGCGAGGTCGGCGCCCTCCTCCACGGGCACTGCGGCTGCGCTGGATGGCCGCCCGAGCTACGCCTGCCTCACAAGGTGAGCATGCTGCTGGAGAAGGCCGACATGCCCCAGATCAAGTGCTTGCTGGAGCGCGTGCTGTGGCCAGCCCCGACGGGGATCGCGCAGCCCAGCCCGTCGCCCCACATCTGCTGGCTAGGCGAGTGCGACTGGCGCTTCCCGCCAGGCGAGCTGTTCCTCGACGGCTCGCTGTTCGAGGGCGACTACGAGCGGCGTGCCAGCGTGGCCTGGGCCGTCATCGCGCTCGAGCGGGGCGCGGACATCTTCCTGCGCGGGGCGTCGGGCATGCTGCGCGAGCCGCGCGTGGACATCAGCGGTGGCGAGCCCGTTGCGCTCATCATGGTCCTCTGGTTTGCGATGCCGCCCGTCGCCGTGGTCGGGGACAGCGGCTTCGCATGCCGCGGCCTCCTGGAGCTTGGGCCCAGGCGCACCGCCGCGCATGGCGCGGCGTGGGCCCACCTCTGGAGGGAGGTGCGGAGGCTGCCGGGCGAGTTCGGCGGCCTGGGGCGCGACGGGCTGCTGGTCAGGAAGGTGCCCGCCCACCAGTCCGAGTCGGCAATTGACCGCGGCACGATCACGCGCAGGGACTGGCTGGGCAACCGCTACGCCGACTGAGTCGCGAAGTCGGTCGGCAGCGGCCGCTGGGCGCATTCAGCACGTGGATCGGCAGCGCCTCGTCATGGCGGACAAGCTGGTCGAGGGCATCGGCATGTGGGTCTCGGCGGTGGGCGGCGCAATGGACGGCGGGGGCGCCGCGCACCGCCTCGCCGAGCCGAGCCGCCCTGCGCCGAAGTGACAGCGCAGCCAGCGGCGAAGCTCTCGCGTGACTGGCGAGGGCCTCCCGGCAAGAGGTGGCGCAGCCGCTGCAGGTGGGTCAAACGCGCGAGCGAGTGCCCAGGCTCGATCACCGCGGCGGCGCTGCAGCACAACGAGCGGCTCAAGGGCGACGGCCAGGACGCGCACATCCTGGCGCTGCTGCGGCCCCGGTGCGAGGCCGACCTCGTGCGCGAGATGCCGCTCGCGGCATGCACAGCCTGTGGCGCCGCGGGCTCCGCGCGCGCGGCCAGCTTCGCTGCCCCCTGCGGCCGCGCCTCGGCCAAGGGCAAGCTGGCCATCGCCAGGCTGGGCAAGAAGCTGGCGCCCGCCAGCTCGGGCAAGATCGCGGTGTCCATCGAGCCGCTGACGGGCTGACGGGCGACTCCCAGCCGCGCTGGGTGTGCCCGCTCGGCCGATGGCCGCTGGGCACGCAGTGGCCTTGGGAGGAGGCGCGCGGAGCCCGAGAGGCCGTCGTGCGCCGCGCGCGCTGCGGGCGCCCGCTGAGGCAGGCGCGAGGGCCCGCTGCGCGTGGGGCGCGCGCGGGCGCGGGGGAGGCGGCGCCGCTCTCTCCGATGTTCGCTCCTCCTCCTCCTCCTCCTCCTCCTGCTCCTCCTCCTGCTCATCCTTCTCCTCTCCTCCTCCTCCTCCTCCTCCTCCCCCTCCCCCTCCTCCTCCTCCTCTCCTCCTCCTCCTCCTCCTCCTCCTCCTCCTCCTCCTCCTCCCTTCGCCCCC